TTCTTCAAAAATCAACCTTAAAGATCATAGTTAGGTCGAGTTAGTTACAGCAACTTTGATTACAGGGGGAATGTACTTCTTCAAGACAATAATTAGCCTATATGCCTGAGTTTGGGGAGGGATAATCAATTGGCACCGTTGGATTTAATAGGCAAGATGGGTAACAGTTGAATGTTTCGTTAGGAAGAGAAATGCTGTCTCTAACATTGTCTTGTGAACGGTGAACACGCTTCCTTAGATTCAATAGAGCTTCACTCAAAAAAATTTTTTTTGTTAAACTTTCAATGTGATCCCTGAACTATTGTATAGATTTTTAATTTAGTCTTTGAACTAAAAAAATCCTTGATTTGGTATTTATTATAGCTCTAAGTTGATATTTTTGTACAAAAGATAGATGATGTGTTTTATTATTAATGTGACATGTGACTTAAGTAATAGACATGTTAGTTGTTTTTTAGTGGAAAGACCAACTTGGAACCAAATTAGAAAATTTTTTAGTTTAAGAATAAGTTGAAAGTCTATATAATAGTTAAGGAACCAAATTAAGAGTTTAACTTTTATTAATTAGATAAAGAAGAGTAACGACACCCTAAAAAAAATTAATTTTGTTGAGGTCCTTATGAATACTATATATATATATATATTTTTTTTGAATAATTTAATATAGTACAAGATCGAAACCGCTCAAAGGAAGAGGAGATGTACATATTTAATGTAGTTAATACTACTAAATTCAAAAGGACAGGTGCATGAATACTATATTTTTAAAATTATTAAAAAAAAAAAAAAACTACATAAGAGCATCCTAACCGTTAATAGAAAAAAACAATAATGAAGACCAACAGCCCGTGAAATAGATAATTGCTTGCACGAAACAAGGTATCATTGGATAGTAAAATCAACGAAAAAAATAATTGTATTTGATCGACATATATTGGCATACTAGTTAATACCCCAGGCAATGCCCGGGCCTTTGAAATTAAAAAAATAAAATAAAAATTTAATATTAAAAGGAAATTAGTAGTGAAAGAATACATCATTACTTAAAAGAAAAATATAACAGTGAGTTTTAGAGAATTTAATCTCAATTATGTCAATTCCACAATATATGCATATTTAACTGCTTGGGGATACAATAAAAAACAACAAAATACTCGCGATGTTATGTCTTATTATAGCCATAGTATCCGCTGCCATATATGATTCGCGAATAACATGGATGATGCAACCTCACTGTAAGGAATTTGCTATAGGAGGTTTCTGCAATCAAATTTCAACTTGAAGAAATGAGAATTATCTCATGTTATATAACACATTATCAAATGTGTTTTGCAAGAATACATTTACAAAAAACAATGGAAACTAAATCAATACCTCAAAAGTATATTGTAATGAAATTCACCCACAATGAGGCCAGTGAAGCCTAGCAATTAAACTGACAGCAAAAGTTATGAAGCCTGTAGCAAAGCTCTAATAAAAGTACAGTTAAGTAGGTAGAATAAAATTAATAGCAAGTAAACTTTCTTTAACAGATCTCTTTATACTAATTCAAAAAGTAAAGAAGCATTTCTTGTCATTATCCAATCTATCTTTCTATGCAAAGTGCTGTTCTTGTTAAGTATCTTTTAGACCATGTTCAAACTTCCTTCACCAATACATAAATGCTCTTATCAATTCATAGTCACTAAAAAGTCAATGTAAAAAGTAGTAAAGTCAATAATGAATCCTAGTATCCTACATACATATACTTATACTGCTGGATGATTTTGCATCTATCCTTGTAAACAAATTCCCAATTCTAGCCACCTTTAACATATGTAATTATGTATTGCATTTTACATGTTGCATTTTGTTGTCTCCATGATACCCATAAAGGAGAAGGAAATAAACAGAGGCAAGGTAAAATGGTAAATCCCATAGCCTTAGGTTTACGTGCATCGAAGAAATTCAGTTACAAACTGTTGATTAGAAGATAAGGAAAATTCTAAATCATCAAAATGTTTTTTGCTCAGAAAAACAGAGTTACTAACCAAAACCACAAGTACAAGGGAGTCAATGAGCAGTATCACCAACAAGTATTATTTAATTGTAGCAACATACAAACTTTTCAGCAACTTTAGCGTGCATCACCCATAACTTTATATCAATAACAATTATAACTGAGAGCTCTCCACCAACCAGTTTGATTTGTTAACTTCCTGCATGTCTACACAAATTTGTATTCTTTCAGAGCAATCGTTACAAAAAATGGAGAAGGAACCTTATTACATACCAAATCTTACAATTAAATTTTTTTTTAAAAAGTTCATCCCATATATCAATTGTTAGGATAGTGTGAAAATCATTCAAAAACAGTTATAATTAACTAATTTGTCTTGCGCATGAGATAATAATTGTATAAGCAGAAAGCTAAAGCTTGAGCTAATGCATATTTCAAGGGTTAATCTTTGGGGATTTCTTCATGTTAAACTAATGATGCTACATAAGATGGCACTTTCACACCATGATAGCTTCAATATTTCTTTACAAACCATGTAACAAATTGATGAAAAAAAGTAAAATAATTGCTGAAAAAAATGGAAAGCCGAAAGCATCAAAGCTAAAACCAATTAACCATTTTGCGTGAAATAATTTTGTAACATTAAAAACGCTAAAGCTAGATAGACCTTTTTACCACCAGCCATTGTCAAAAAAAACCCAAAATTAGAGAGATGTCAAAGACGCATTTGAACATTTTGTTATAAACTAACCAGATTTAATAGGCAAAGCTCCTAATTTTCCATATAAACTCAATCAAGACTAATGAACTGAATCATACTGAAGAATCCCTTTGTCTCTAACTTTGTTATGAACTGAATATTATAATGGTACAACTAATATGCATTTAGAAGTATATTTAAATTTTAATAAATTAAAACAAAGGTGGTATGCAAATACAACTATTCATGTGGGTATCATCTAGCTAAACCAAAGAACACTGAACCTTTCTAAAATCTCAATTATCTTAGCAAATGATGCTATGCCCTGAAAGCTATAGGTCAAACC